ATCAGGGAGGCGTATGATTGGCCCCAAATTTATTCTGCAGCAGGACAATAACCCCAAGCATACAGCCAAAGTCATTAAGAACTATCTTCAGTGTAAAGAAGAACAAGAAGTACTGGAAGTGATGGCATGGCCCCCACAGAGCTCTGATCTCAACATCATCGAGTGTGTCTGGGATTACATGAAGAGACAGAAGGATGTGAGAAAGCCTACATCCACAGAAGATCTGTGGTTAGTTCTCCAAGATGTTTGGAACAACCTACCAGCCGAGTTCTTTCAAAAACTGTGTGCAAGTGTACCTAGAAGAATTGCTGCTGTTTTGAAGGCAAAGGATGGTCACACCAAATATTGATTTGATTTAGATGTTTCTTTTGTTCACTCACTTTGCATTTTGAACATTGACAGAAATAAACAATCATTATTTATATTTCTGAAAGCATTCTTTGTTTACAGCATTTTTTCACACCTGCCTAAAACTTTTGCATAGTACTGTATATATGCATACACCTCAATTCACAACTCTAGGCATCTTACAACATTTAAAACATCACATAAAAACTCCACCTCATCCCACCCAGGCCAACAACAATACAATCAAATCAACCGCTTGATTGGCTTCTTCTCCATTCATGCTCCCCAGGCCTGCTGACAAAACTGTTTTTGGTCTTTTGGAAAAGCAATACGGTGGAGGCCAACAGTAATTTGTGAATACTGAAGTCAGGCAGTAAGGCAAGAAGTAAATTGCCTTCAGCTGAAATAAGGAAAGACTGAATTTACCACTTAGTGATCTTTTTAGTTGTCTGGGAACCTGGAGATCTTTGGAAGTGCTTGCCTTTAGACTAGAGATGTGTTCATTTTTATGTATGTATGTTTATTATACTTGTATGCCGCCCTATTCCCGAGGGACTCAGGGCGGCTAACAAACAAGTGGGGAAGGGCCTATATTGGCCTAGATTATATTGGTACAAGAGGGCAATGAACAGAGTGAAAACATGTAATTAATTCAGAGCAGGAAAATGAATTCTGATGTCATGAACTCTTTCTTAGAAATCCAGGCAGCATGACATTAGCCAGATTATAACTGGTGGCGCAGTGGTTAGAATGCAGTACTGCAGTCTACTCCTGCTGGCTGATTGCAATTTTGTCAGTTCAAATCTCACAAGGCAAGGTTGATTCAGCATCCCCTCCTTCCGAGGTCGGTAAAATGAAGACCCAAATTTTCTGGGCAATATGTTGACTCTGTAAATCGCTTAGAGAGGACATCTCTGTCCTTTAGGCTACTCTGCACTCTGACGGTCAGGTGAGGTTGGAGTGGGCGGTGGGAGTAGGCAGTGAAATGTACGTGGTCAAAAGAGCAGAGATAAGGGGAGCGAGGCAGGGGAGTATAAGCAGGGGAGAGCATGGCAGGACAGGAGTATGAAATCCTGACCTAACGACTGCTACTGTAACTACCAGAACTGCCATTTTGAACCAGTACAGTCATTTGATGTTTTGCCTAATGTCTGCATAGTTTAGCATCAGAAATTCGGATGGTTAAGCAAGGATATCTGTAACGTGGGAACATAGCCCCTCTAGCTGCTTGTAAAAATGTACTCTGGAAAAGATGTTGACGATATAACAAGCTAAATAAATGAATTAAATGAAGAGCTACAAAAACACTTCAACCCCTTAAAAGCTCTCCTTGAAAGGAAAAGAGGAATGAAACACAACTGAGTTTAATCAAGAGCAACAAATTTAGGAACAATTGTGAATGCTGAAGGTGACAAAGCTTTGTTTGGGTATTATAGAAGCATTTTTGCAATTTTTGTAGAGAATTTGTACAGCTGAGGGTGGGGCATTATTTTTGTCTCTTCCTCCCCATGCATTTTTCTGACTTCCTGGCATCACCTCTTGTTTTTTGTAATGTTATACCTGGTAGACTGATGTTAGGAAGTGAGCTTTTAAAGCAACATCATGACAAATATATGCAAACGCATTTGTCATGGAGAAATGATGACAAGCTATTATGATGCTCCCATTAGACTTCCCGGAGGGATGAACTTCAGCTCTTTTTTTCTTGCTGGTCAAAGCAGCTCCTGAAGAGATTCTCTGCTGCAGGTGCCTTTAATAACCTTCCGCTTTTGCCACTCAAAAGCTTGGGAAGGGTGCATTGGCTGGTGCAACTCTCCAATCACAAGCCTCTAAACAGTGCTCAAGCCTGGGCTGTCGAATGCTGGGTGTGAAACTGCATGCTTAATGAACACAGGGGGCAAGGATTGATTATGCCTTGGACTTGGAAGCCGCAGCTGCCTGTGAAACAGTGCTACCTCTAAGCTCGCTATGGAAAATATGAAGGAATGTTGAAGAAGCTTATTTGCAAAAGGATATGCTCCTGTAAGCAATTTTGTCTCTCCCTGTGTGTGTGTATGTGTATGTGAAATTTTCTCCCTTCAGTGAGGAATAAAAAAAAGATCATTAAGTATTTTTTTAAAGAATGTTTAACTGTTAATAGGGACAGACAAAGACCTCTTTAAACAAGGCATGTGTCTATGTAAACCTAGACGGTCATTCATAAATGAGCTTTGTAGAAGCGGAAGGAACAGCAATGATGGATGGATAATGGCTAAATGTAGGGAATTGTGTACTGTCTGGTTTAAAGTCCATTAAAACCAGTGGAAGGCAAAGCAGGTTTGGATATAGCTTTATGAAATGTGTTGTTTGACTTGCAAACCTCATCCTTCTATGTGAACTAGTATGTAGCACTCAGCTGTCATAAGGGGTGGATTCTGACTTTATAGTACAGATCTGACTGTTAAGGTTCCCATTTCCTGAAGTCCATGTTCAGATTTTTAACCTATTCTTTGTTTCTCTTTCTGCTCTGCACATGTGCTCTCAAAAACCTGATGTCTGGAAGTGAATAGCTTAGATTGTGAACAGTGAAAATTAAGTGTGGAGATGTAATGTTATTCAAACGGTTATTTAGATTGATTAAAAAAATCACAGATATTTAAATGTCTTTTTAAACTCTGTGAAATTCTGGGTGTTGCTATCTATATAGCAATGAGTTTTCCTGGAGTATTGTTACAAGGATTTTTTTTCTTTGAATCATTATGGAAAACAAAATGTTCTTCTCAAAAGAAACTACTGAAAATTGTACTTGTTTTAGTTAACACTTCAATATAGGAAGCCACACCCCTGAGGAATGTATAAGAGAGAATAATCTTCCGTTCATCTGTTTATGTTATTTGTTTTACTTCTGATCTGCTCAGCAACAAGGTTTTGAACTAATTAATTCAATTAATTAAAGCTTCAAATTAAAACTCTCTTGCTTTGATAAAGACCTAATTTGTATAGTATTTGAATGCTTCCTTTTGTTTGTAAAAATTTATCATGGTCCTAGGGATAAGAAGATACATCTCCACAAATGCCAATATCAAAATTGGACTAAGATGAGCAGATAGCTTTATTGAAGCTCTATAGGTATTAGTCTGCACCCTTTTATGAGTGCATGGTTCAGTGATTTCATTGCTGATGACTTGCATTGAAATACAGTATGAAGAGCATGGATTTTCTTATTACTAATAGTTCACAGAGGCACTTTAAAAAAATCAGAGGGTGTGGTATTAAATCTAGGCCTCTATCTCCCACATGTTTCACTTGTGTAAGAAGGGAGTTGTGTGTTGAATATGTTGTTGAGTAGAAATAGACTTAAACAAAAGCATTTGGTATGGTATTACTGTCAGCAATAAATTTTAAAATTTGATGCATTTGTTAGGTATCACACAGACATTAATTCCCAGTGGTCAGACTCCAAAGAACTGGGAAATTAGTTTTGTGAACCCTGTAGCCTTATGCTTTTGACACTGGGGAGTCTTCCAAACTAGGCTGTGATAAGATTATGAGCATTAGCCATCGGGATAAACGTATTCCACAAAGAGCCCACGCTTGAGTATAAACAGCTACTTGGGAGCTCAGCCCATATTTGTAAATCATACTTTTATAACAGAGGAACATTCAGAGAAGTACTACATTTTTCAGAGTATAAAACACACCTTCCCCCCCCCCCCAAAAAGAGGGTGAAAATCTGGGTACATCTTATATACTGAATACAGCATTTGTGGCCTCCCGAAACCCAGCCTCTTCAGAAAAATTGATGTGGATAGGCTTTGGGAGGCCTGCAAAGTGCTCCTGGGGGCTGGGAAAGGCAAAAATGAGCGGAAAACAGGACATTTTTTGCATGTTTTTGCCTCTCCCCCCCCCCCCCCCCCCCCCCTGGAGAGCCTTAACAAGCCTCCCAAAACCTATGCATGCCCTGTGGGGGGGGGGGGGGGGTTGTTTTTTGTTTTGCAAAAAAAGGGCCCGTTTTCATGAAAATGGGCCGTTTTTTGCTCGGTTCCCCCAGCCCCCAGGATCACTTTGCAGACCTCTCAAACACTCTGCATGCCCCGTTTTTCACAAAAAATGAGGCATACAGAGGGTTTGGGAGGCCTGCAGTGTGCAAAAACTTTTTTTAAAATTTACATCTTCAAAATCTTGGTGTGTCTTATAGTCTGAAAAATATGGTAATACTCAGTATTAATATAAACCATTAATCAAATAGATGGTTTTTTTTTAAAAAAATCAAAACATAGAAATACTAAAATGCTTAATAGAAATCCACAATTATTTTGTTTGAAAAAGGAAAATTACCAAACTAATTTGGAAATGTACATAAGGAACCAAGGCATAAAGGTTGTTACGCATTACATTTATAACAGACACATGGACTTAACTCGGTTTTTACTTAGTTATCTTCTGAAGCCCCCTGTCTTCCAATGGACATTAAAAAGCAAAATAATGTATGTTTAGTTTTAAGTGACAGGGTACAGGCAGGCACATGTCTCTATGTTCATATAACTGAATAACAAGTTGTGTCTTCCTGTAATATATGTATTTCTTTTGTTCACATTTGCGGAGCAAACTTGCTTCAAAATGGGCTATGAGAATTATAAGTAATTCTCTGAATTTTATGTTGTGTTTTGTAGATAAACATTTTGATGATGATGACTCGGTGGATGGGAACCGACCATCCTCAGCCAGTTCCTCAACCTCTTCAAAGGCTCCCTCATTATCTCGAAAATGTGGGACGGGCACTGCTCGAAGGGTAGGAGCAGTAGCTTTAGTCGCAAAAACTCCAGGTAGGTCAAGCCCTTGCAAACACCTAAACGTTACTTCTTTCAATCTTTTTTTTCCCTTCTATTTTTTATGCATGATTCGAACAGTAGAACATAACAACTCCCTTGGTGCACTTATTTTGAGACAGTTGCTAAGTATCTGAATTTTGATCACATGATCATGGGGATGCGGCAATGTTGTGTGAAAAGTGGTCATAAGTCACTTTTTTCAGTGCTGTTGTAACTTTGAACAGTCACTGAACGAAGTGTTGTAAGTTGAGGACTACTTGTACTTTGCAGTAGTACTTTCAGAAAGCTTTCAAAAATAGGGAGTCCAATGTAACTAATGTTGTAAACTGCCCGATTCATTCTTTAGCCCAGTCAAATATATCACATTTACATTAATTATACATGAATGTATACACAATGTATACACATATACATCAATACATTAATACACATACATTACTTATAATTAAATAATTTTAATTAATTATATTTATAATTATATTTAATTATATTTAAATAATAATTTAAATAAATATATTAACTTTTCTAAACTTCGCCATTTTAGAAAAAACAAATTTCATCACTTTCAGGTAATATTCTGTTTTGTTTGATTATTTCAATCTCTTCGTTAAAGTTTTTTCCTGAAGACATTGTATGCTTCACTATTTCTTTTCTTTACTCTTACTACAATAAGACCTATTTTACATATAGTTTATATAAATGTATTTTATCGCTGTTATTATTGCCTCCCTCTTGCATTCTCTAGCAACTAAAGAAGGAGCTGGTGCCATTGATGAGGAAGATTTCATTAAAGCTTTTGAAGATGTCCCAACTGTTCAGGTAAATGGCTCATAGTATGGTTAGAAATAAAACACTAGAACATAAGGGTGGAGGTAGAATGCATTTTTAGAAAGACACTATATGGAACTTTTGCTTGCATCACAGAGAAGGACAAAGACAAGATAGTAAAGTTGATTGGATTGGCAAATCATTTCTTTTTCAATATTGCCAGTGGGACAGCAGGATAGTTTGAGACTGTAAAGCAGAACATGCCATGAGAAGTTTGGTAAATTAACAGAATGGAACGATGAGGAAACTTGTATAATGAGGAATACTCTTAAATCTCAAACCATCTTAAGTCATGGATGATTTTAACAGTAATGGTATCATTTCACAAGAGGCATAAAATGCACAGAATATAACATTGAGATATGTTTCTTTTGTTAATGGAAACTGGGTTGATCTGGTGGAGACATCCTTAAGCAGCAAATGGAGAGTTGTTTTTCTTGGATCCCTTCTTTTCTTTGTAATTCCATCCTATCTCCATCTGCACAAGAGGAGTTCCCTTTGGACTACATGAAAGATAAACAGGATGCTGCAGTAAAAATGGGACATTTTATTTATTTATTTAAAACATTTATAGAGACGCCCATTGTTCAACTGCGCAGTTCCCAATCGAACAACGAAAGAAACATAAAATTACATTTAAAACTATAAAACCAAACCATTTAAAATATTAAAAACCAATCATTGGTAAATGAAAGAAGTTCCTACCATGTTTCCCAGAAAATAAGACAGGGGTCTTATTTTCTTTTGACCCCCGAAATAAACGTTTGGCCTTATTTTTGGGGCGGTCTTATTATTTTTGAGGTGCAAGAGGCCCCTTAACTTGGCCTGCAGCCGGTGGATCACCTGAACCAGAAAAGTTGTGTCTCTATTTCTGGCACACACTTGCTAGCTCTAGCATCCTATCCTCCTAACCATCTAATACATATTTGGAGGTATACAGAAGATTTGTGATGAGGCAGAGATAATTTCTTATAGTTCAGTGAATTCTTCTAGCTTAGTAAAATAGTTTTTATGTTTTCTTTACAGATTTATTCTAGCCGAGACTTTGAAGAATCCATAAACAAAATCAGAGAAATCTTGTCTGATGATAAACATGATTGGGAACAGAGAGTAGCTGCAGTAAGCATTTGATTCTATATGAACTGTTCATGTAATGTAACCTACCTGGCATGAGACTTTACATTGTGTGATATCGTAGAAGATTGGATAAACTCTACTGTGTCTGTATATTTCTGCAAATTGGAAGTTTCTTATGTTCAAGACATCCTGAAAATTCTTATTTCCTGTTAAAAATAATAAAAACTAAGCAAGAATTGTGAATGCTTAGTTTTCAGAGCTATAGAGGGAACTTTGAACAAGATCACTTTCTTTTTGGTAGGCCTCATGTTATAAGAAGTTGCCTTTCTCTTTAAGTGTGCTTCAAAATTGGTTAAATCAACCTAGAACTCAATTTTATTTTTTAAAGTTGTTTTAAATATATATGTTAGGGTTTTAAGATGCTTGGATTTTAGCTTACTACTGTACCCTATTTGGAGGCTTAACTGAAATGAAAAATACAAATAATACAATTTTATCACTGACATATCTACTCTGCTGATGATAACTGATAAAATAGTTATCATAAAATAATTTTCCTTTCTATATTTTTGTTCAACAGCTGAAAAAAATCCGGTCTTTATTATTGGCTGGAGCTGCTGAGTATGATACCTTCTTCCAACATCTACGCTTGCTTGATGGAGCCTTCAAATTATCTGCTAAAGACTTGAGGTCCCAGGTAGTGCGAGAAGCTTGTATCACATTAGGGTAAGGAACACAATCTACGTATTCTAAATTGGGTGAAACTACAACATATTTTTCCTCTGATCAACTTCTTCTGAGGTAGGAGAGTGAAAGGACACTTTGTTAAATTATTAAGGGTCACTCCTTGCTGTAAATCTTTGTCACTCTGATTTATGAGAATGACAGAGTTTGGTTTCTGCTTTTTCTGATGAAGGGGAGACTGGAACCTGCCTTATGTGAAAATGGAAACCCTTATGCTTAGTTCCTGTGGTATATGCCCATATGATTTGTGTTAATACCACATAATGGGGTACTCTTTAACATTGATAGGATGGGTTAGATTGGGTCTTCTGACTTCCATGAAATGGTCTCTGAATCCTTCACCCACAAACCTATGTACTCATATTCATGAGGATAGCCTCTTTGATGGCACTGCCAGCAGTCAATTTATTAGAGAAATTATTTCTGCCTGGATTACTTTGAGGGAGGAGACAAATGGCAATTTTCTTGGTGGGGCATATTTTTCTTACCTGCCTTCAGTCAACCCCGGGAGAAAAGAACTAGTAAACAAATAGTAGACAGAAAACCAAGTACAGTATAGCAAATATTTGCGAATTGAGGAGCAGTGGAGGAAGTTGTTACTAAGAACTTCTCATTTTCAGTGTAAATCATGTCTTTATATCATTCTCATTTCTGGACAACTTGGCATTTCTGTATCTGTTTATCTTAATCATGAAACTGAAAAAAAATATTTTTCTTACAGAAAGAATTATTAGGTCATAAATCCCTAATTTGTAACTCTTGTGTATTTTAGTAGTGGAAAAGCCATTTCCCTGTCTCAGATAAGTAGTAGGATTGCTGGGAGAGAGAAATCCATCTCTGCTGTTCTTAAATACTGTTAGTTTATGAATATATTTACAAATAAGCATGTCAGTGATTCTGGCTTCATGTCAGATATGTCCTTTGTGCTACAGTGATTGTCTACCCTGATATTGATAGTATGAATAACCTGTATCACACACCTGTGAAAAAAGGACTTAATAAGAATTATGCAAGTGAAAAGGCCTGCTTTCTTGCCCCCTGTATATATCTACATCTTGGTTACTTAGTGCAGGTAACATTTTACAGTTACCTGGCATGTTTATTCAGAAGCTACTCTCATTGTTCTTCAGATAGGGAATATGGGATTGTAGTTGTTTGTTAATTATTTTCAGCAGTTTTTGTTTATGAATGGTTAACTTGGTTGTTAAAGAAAAACCTATGGATAGATGCCACAACAAATATATATTTAAATAATGTGATAGCTTGCATTTCTATAGAAATGGGAAGATGAAAAACAATTTAATGACAAGTATTTTCAGATAAACCAAACATTCTCTTCTCTGTCCTCCTCTCATTGTTATAATTGAGAAATGTGTATTGAAACTTTGAAAAAGGTATTTTTGTAACCATTGTTTCAATAATTCAATGGTAGTTTCTGCCTTAAATGTCTGAAAACGTGCCTTAAATCTTATTTTATAGGATTGAATACTTTGTCTAGGTTCAATCAGAGTTCAGGGTGAAAGTTCAGGTATTTCATTTGCCCTGGCACTTTCATTCTGTACTGCAGTTTGCTGGAAGGACTGATTTTAAGCAGAGGGCAAGAGGGCTTGTTAATAGCAGCTCTAAAATTTACAAATGACAGGCGAGGTGGAAAGCAGAAGAGAAGGTCTGACCAACTGATCAGCAGTTTAATAGTATCCTTTAGCCTTTCCCTAATAACTTCACAGTGATCTACTCCAGACTGATTTCTTGTGAAAACTGACCATCATATCATGTGTTGGAAAGAAAAGTGAGAATACTTTGTTAACACACAGACTGTGTTTATAATTTATTGTTAATTGAATATAATAGCCTTGCATAACTGCATCTTGGCCTACCCTGCTCTTTCACTATTGCAATCTGTTTTTTTGTTGTATTTCAGACATTTGTCATCGGTATTGGGTAACAAGTTTGACCATGGGGCAGAAGCCATCATGCCAACAATCTTTAATCTCATTCCCAACAGTGCCAAAATCATGGCCACTTCTGGTGTAGTAGCTGTGAGATTAATTATTCGAGTGAGTATTGCTCAATTCAGATACAAATTGTTCTCCCATGTACTCCTGATGAAAGTAGCAGAGGGATATAATGAACATGAAAATCAGTCTTGCCCAGAATCTTAAATAGGCCTTGTAGTCAGCATGAGAGATTCACTTACTGTTTGCCTTGCATCTGTGTTTGTGCAAACGTTACCAGACTGGCAGTTCAAAAAGCTGAAATTAAATTGTGTTCTCTGGACTGTTTTTTAATAGTCTGACAGTGATATATTCTACATTTGTTACATGTTAAATACAAATGAAGAATAGAACACACCTGCTGAAGAATATATGTATTTTTAATGGAAAGCCTGTCTCGGCATTAAAAACAAACCTTCAATTTGCATTCAGATGTTTTAAATTGAGATTTGATTTTACCAGTGCTGCTTTTTAGTTTAACGTTTCTTGATGTGAAGTAGAAGCAAATCTGTGTTCGTTCCAAGGAAACAGTATTAATAGCAATAGCAATAGCAATAGTTAGACTTATATACCACTTCATAGGGCTTTCAGCCCTCTCTAAGCGGTTTACAGAGTCAGCATATTGCCCCCAACAACAATCCGGGTCCTCATTAGGCCTTAGCTGCAAATTACAGCATGTGAAAATTTTAAATTTTTCCATTGATTTAGTACAATGCTAGTATCCTTTTACTGGTCATAACTGTACTATTCTTTCAGTGGTGTGCCAAGAGAAAAATCTAAAGTAGATTTGATGGATTTAGCTGATATAAATTGCTTCAATTTTTTTAAATGTAGGGCTTTAATATCCCATCATTATATTAAAGCAAGTATTTCTTTAGTATCTAGTAACTTCATTTCTACCATATTCAAAATTACAACTTGAGTTCCATTTTGGGAGGATGTCTGATAACTGCATCCTAGGTTTTGGGGTCACATAGAGATCAGGACCCTACATGTATTTGTTATTTAATTGATCTCATTGGCAGTAATAGTCAACAAAGAGCATTAAGCATAAAGTATGTTTCTGGTAAGGCAAAATTCTAGTTTGATTTAACATTCAGTCAGAATCTTTTTTGGATAACCAAAATTTTGGACATGCAAAATTAAAAAACATAGAGTTGGGCTTATTTAAAAATTGTTGGTAAAGTGTGATTCAGAAAGTGAGCAAGTCTGCGTGATTTAGTAGGCACAGAATTTAAATAGAACAATCAATGTGCAACAATCAAAATATCAGTGGAAGAAAAATATAAATCGTACATTAAGATTTATACTGAGAAAATTTAGTATAAGATCAGTACTGATTACTAAAATAGAAAATTGGTTCGCTTAAAAATTGTTGGAAATTCAGTAAGCAGGTTGATTATTTTTTCATATTTGGTGACTGTTGCAAATGCCAACTCTGGGAATTAATTTGTAACAGCATGCAGCACATTTTAAAGAATTATTTACTGTAATCCTTCAGTTTTTAATTAAATATTATCAAGCCTTATATTTTCATGAAATATGCTGAATTAGCTTTGTACATGGTAAAAACTGCAATAACTTTTTATGCTGTTCCCTGGAAATTATATGGAAGTATGGTTTGATATCAGAATTAACCTCAGATTTTAAAAACAAATTTAACAAAATGTAGAAGCCATGAAAATAGAACTATATTCCAAGACCATTTGCTTTTTTAAAAATTTGAACTTTCTATTCCTTCTAGCAATATAGCAGGGACATTAAAAAGATATTGATTTGCTTGTTTTGAAAAATGGAATTTGATAGCCGTAGAAAAGAGTGATAAGACCAGCTCTGCTACCACAGATCTTTGTGAACTCTCTCAAGCCCTGTTCAGTGTTTTCAATTTGATAATCAATTTGTTTAAGCTATTGCTTTTTACATTTTTTTTTATTCCCTAGCATACACACATCCCTAGACTAATTCCCATCATCACCAGTAACTGTTTCTCCAAATCAGTTGCAGTGAGAAGGTGAGTTATGCAGATCGGCATCTATGGTCTTCTTTATAACTTACTTAAACAATTATGTTTCTATGGAATAATTAATTTTGAATTGAATTGAATTGAATTGAATTTTATTATTTGTATGCCGCCCTTCTCCGGGAGGGACTCAGGGCGGCGAACAACTCAAAAGGGGAAAAAGGGGAACATAGAACAGAATACAAGTGATTAAAATAACCAAGAATCACAACAACCATACAAGTCGAGCGGGGAGGGGAACTCATCACCCCCAGGCCTGCCGGCAAAGCCAGGTTTTGACGGCTTTCCGGAAGGTCTGGAGAGAGGTGAGGGTCCGAATCTCTTTGGGGAGTTCATTCCAAAGGGCCGGAGCTGC